GGGGTTCACTTTAATTGTATGCTGTCTTGTACTGTTTCTCTACTGTTCCAGACAAAGAAAGAACTGAATTCTGGTGTCAAAACCCAAAACCTTCACACAGACCTGGATGACAGGCAGCCACCCTCCCTCCTGTCTGAACTCTGTAGCTGTTGTTTCAGCTGCATTGCAGTCATCGTGAACTCATCCACACCTTATCGGTGGAGAAAAAAAAAGAAAAAAAACGACACCAGGCAACTGAGGAGAGCCCCGGAGAAAAGCAATGCAAAGCACAAGCACACTTTTGAATTTATGGAAATTGCACAAACAAGGTAGCTGGCTGGATTGTCTACTCAGAACCCAAGAACAATGATCATTCTAACCCAATGATTCCAACCACTGTGTGTACCATGTGAGTTCATCAGGTGTACCATGGAAAATGATCGAAATTCACTTAATTGGTCTGGAAATTATTTATTTACTGCAAATAATTTGTCCTTAAAAGACAGAACAATAAATAACCTTTCATTAAGTGGCAGCACATGGCTATAAACAAACAAAAAAGACTCAGAGCTGTTGAAGATCTCCATGTGTCTTTCTTCAATTCCTGAGTGATCGTGATTTTGTTCCACTCAATAGGCCCAGGTTTCACATTGAGCAGGGAAAACATGAGTAAAGTGACAGGGTTAGTTTGTTTGTTTATTTTACAGGTAACTGGACTAAAATGGTGTGGTGGTAGAATCTTGGCTTAATGTGAAACATTCCCAGTTCAGTTCTGCCTTGTCTTAAATTTCAGGTTGGGTTGTGTGAGGGAGCGGTAACAGAGTTAAAACTCTGCTGAATCACTTTGCCAAGCCTTGCTTGTGGTTGTAATTCTTTTGGTACCTGGATACATTTTTCTTTATTTTCTCTGTTAGTCTTTTTTAGCAATCGCCTCAGAAATTAATAGTTAGGAAAATGATAAATGTGTTCATTATACTTCTATTTATTTCAACAGTCAGGCATAGAAAGACAGTGAAGTATGGTGTAAGAGTGTGGCCCCTTCAGTCCACTTGATTTGGAAACTCCTGTGACTAAAGCTGGTCGACTTGGCCCTAATCCTATCTCTGACACTGACACTGTTCCTGCCCTTCTACATTTATATCGTCTTTCTCTCTCATCTTTGCCCAGCCGTTAGAAGAGGCTAAAGGAAAGAACGGAGAGAAGATCATTTTTCATGTGGATACATTTAAAAAAAAAAAAAAAATCTGCCAATCGCTGCAGAGATTTCCTGCAGCCTGGAGATGAAAATAGAAAAGATAAGTAAAGCGTTAGCAAGTGTTGAAACGGGAGATGTGAAGGACACTGAGCTTATCTGTGAGTGTGATTAAAAGCAGGGAGTTGAGACAAACAATGTTTAACCTACATTCTGCTTCTCCAGTGATTTCCACTCCGAGACTGTCCTTCTTATCTGTTAATAGACTTTGGTAATCCCTCCAACATGTATGCACCGCTTCTCATGCAAGGAATAATGAGCATAAGTGAGAAATCTGCCTGAAACCAGAACACATCCATCATACTACGATATACGTATTTGAATATACAATATACACCTTATACAATATACAAACTTGTCTTGACGTATATTGTACGCATACCTAACATTGTTGTAAAAAGGCAGTCACATTTAAATAAGGTGAAAAAAATGTGTTCCGCTTCACATTAAAAAAAAAAACCCAAACGAATTCAAAAACGTGTGAATTAATACAATTTATCATAATTAACAGCTCATGCTAACATGCTAACAGACTGAATCATTCATGGGACTTTGCTCAGGCATAAGCAGAAAAATGAAGCCACTCTTTCTTGCCCGGGATTTAAAGAAGTCTGACAATGACTCTATACGTCATAATAAAATATTAGAAAAGTAATTGAACTCAACTGAACTTAGCTCCGTGTCTTTGGTTGTACTGCTGCTATTAGCTATTTTATTAACTCTCTTCAGACCAGTTTAGCGCCAATCAGATTTGTCCCCATGAGTGGGTGTGTGTAGTGTGGGCTCCCGAGAGATTAAGGCAACAATCAGAGTGAAGAGGGGGAGACAGAGTGGAGTAGAGGAGCAGTACTGAAGTGTGATCCTGTCCAGAAAATTAGATTGACCGAATTAGAGGGATTAGACCGACCACGACTGGACCGGAGAGAAAAGAATGGAGGCAGACAGTTCACAGAGAGAGGAGGGAGGGAAGGAAAGGGAAGGCAACGAGGAAAGGAACGTAAGTGAAAAAGTAAGAAATAAACAAGTTACTTTAAGAGTTGGGAGGGAAAAGAGTCATATTGCGGTAGAGAGAGGGGGGATGAGGGAGGGAGGGAAATGACAACTCTGCAGATTTAAAAATCCTGGGTGAGTTTTAGGGGGTTGGCACTAAAATGAAGACCTGATTCCGCTGTCTGGTCCTGAACCCAAACGTTCTGGTGGATTCAGCTGCTCTGCTGGAGTTACAGTGCCCCCCAGTGGTCAAAAAGGGAACTAAACTGAATTTCATCGACAGGTTATGTTCAAGAATATGCAATAAACTGTTTGGGCGTATAAACCTAAACCTTTCCGTTTACATGCTGCGGCTGAGAAATATTTAATAATATAATTTGAATATGTATTTTTTAAAATATATACTGTAGGTGATCATTTACGTCCTTATGTTCATGTTTGTGAACGCCTTGCCTAGACACTATTAACGTGGACGCAGAATGTGTCAATTTGAAAAAAGATGTTCTCCCTGAGACCAAGGCTGAGGACGAGCTGCAGAGGAAGACTGAGCTCTGACCCGGGGCAGAGAGTCCTAAATCAATGTGATTAATTAATCGTGTAATTGCTGCCCCCTGGTGTCAGCACAACAAGCGTCGAAAGTTTGCTGATAAACAGTTATAATCAACACCTCCTGTGACCAAACCGTAACTCTTCAAAGAAATAGATCCACATCTCTGCTGCTTGTCAACTGTATACAATGAATATACGGTCAGAACTGCACAAAAACGACCCTTAAAAACTGTCAATGATACAGACTCAGACAAGCAGGGTAAGGATTCAGGATAAAAATTCAAATCAAGCCACGGGTGACCTCATTTTGATGGACTCTATTGAAGACTCATAAAACACAGACTCCTCTGCTCACAGATCAGTGGAAACAGGCACACGGTGCAGCTCATAAGGACGATTTATGACCTGCAATCAGTCACACACGAGGATGTGTCAGGGGTTTAATGTAGGAACGAATGTGCAGATTACACAGGAATAAAGCAGACACCCGAACATGTAAATCTTCTAAAGGAGGTTTACATTAAGGGGTTAAGAGTAGATCATTAAGGACAATTATGCATTCACTACACCACAATATAAAATGTGATTAAAAAGAACAAAATTCTACAAGAATTCCTTTAGGAAGTATATATACACGAATGCATGTTATTTTGTATTTTCTGGAGATAAAGGAGATAAAATAACAAGTCAGTGGAAATGTTCCCACTGTTGCACAAATTAAAGAAATGTTGAAATGTAATGCGTTGTTGTGTGCCCTGCAATGGCACTGAAGTGCTCTAAAGGGGTTCCACCCCCCACTTTGTGAACCATTGGTTTAACCTAAAGGAGTTTTATATGCAAACATATCCTTTAGTATCCACTTGTATTCCTATTATTATTGTATTAATAAAGGATTTCCTGTGTGTGTGCATTTTATTAACATTGTATCATACATCTAAACTGTGGATGATATTGTACTATTGTACTGTTTTAACTGCGTATGTTGCATGTACTGCATATGTGAACAATTTTGTAGCTATGTTGTAACTGCATATGTTGCATGTACTGCATATGTGAACAATCTGCTACAAACTCAACTATACTGCCTCTGATAAATTAGTAAGATATACAGTATATGTATATATATACATTGTATATGTATATATATACATTAAATATAGATAGATATAATATATATATACCTATACACACACACACGTGTGTATATATATATATATAGTACATGTCCTGAGCTTGAACCCTGTGGGAGCCTTGCGTTTTCCCTGAAGAGTGAAAGATTGCTTGTCCACACTTGTTTAAAACCAATCTGTTTCCTCAGTCAGGTCAATATCCTAACACAGCTGGAAGGACCAGAGTGGTGAGAGCTGCTGTAGTTAAGTAATGACGCTGCATCTACACCAGGCTGGAGGATGTAGCATCAGCTATGAAGTTGTGCCTCATTTGCCTGCACATTAGAGACTACGCAGATATTTTAGACTGTAGGTGTAAGGCGAGTAAAACAGGGTTGAGAATGTTTGATGAATCTACTGTGACTAACAACGCAACCAAAACAAGCGAGGCTATTAAGGAGCCCAGAGCTGGATTGATTCTACACTGGATGCTAACAGCTAACTGTTATGGTCGACTGTGTGGTGTTAATTGCTATTCTTGCTATAAGTTTGAGTTTGAAGGTCGATATAATTTTACACCTGAAGTTGAAAACCCTGGAGGTTAAGATAAAAATAAGTTGTTTTTCCCCCTTAACACAATAAAACTTGTGAAAAAACCCAAATCTGTCACAAACATAAACTCAATGACCGTTTCATTAGGAACGCCTACTCTTTTAAACTCATCTAAAATAACTGATTGTCAGAGGAAAAGTTAAAATAAGTGTCTAATTACCTTAATAATTGTTAGTTTTCTCTACAAAGAGACAAATGTGAGTTACTGCTTTAAAAAGTGTTATGCTAGATATTTAGGCTAACGATTACCTAGCCTGGGCTAACCTTCAATTTGTTATTATTTATGTAGAAAAAAATTTTAGATTCAACTTTTAGATACGTTGGCCAAATTGTTTTTACCCTAAGAATTTATCTTGTCTTTTTTGCTAACCTTTTTGTTGTTTGTTTTATCTCTTTGGACATTCATTGTACAGTTTCATTTTCTTAGCTAAGCTTTTTACTTTTATGGTTTGACTTAACTTTTAACTCTGAGCTAAATGTTTTGTCACACATAAAGTAAGCACTGTGCCTTTTTTTTTTTTTTTTGGAAAAGTCTATAATCTTAAATAAGTATTCAACCTGCATTCATACGACAGGGAATTGTTACTGACACCTGTAAAAGTTAACCATACCTTAGTCCTTTGCCCATTAATAATATAATGATTCCTCCATTAAATAATTTAAAGGCCCAGTATATTATTAAAAGTTTTTTCTTCAGCTTTTCTTCTTACAGCAGCAGAGCCACTGCCCTCAGTGCTTCACTAATTGCTTGACAAGATTATTTTAGATTTGCAAAATATTCATCCTAAAACATAGTCGTCTCCCCTGGTACCATCAGCAGAAAAGTTCCAGTCCTGCAGGAACTGTCATAATAGTGAGATCATTATTTTCCACCTGAGACAAACATTTCAACTGAAAAATATGCAGTTTTCCAGTGATGTTTTTTCCATGGCTGAATAAATGTGGTACATTCCTATTCTGATCACTGAATGTGTTTACAGTAGCATCTTTGATTCTGACCCAATTCCACGTGAAGAAAATATAGCAATGACACAAGCAGAGACGAGCGAGTGGGAAGGCTACACACATAAAGACACAGATGAGGATGAAAAATGATGATTCCAGCATGGCTGACATTGCACTCCGCAGGAATTCAAAGGCAGAGGGTAGAACAGGGAGGATGGGCAGCCCGATTTAGAGCCAGGCAGCTGTTGTGCACTTGGCATGGCTACACATCTGCCAAGTCACTGTGTGCAGGCGCTGAGGTGACTTCCTGAGCTTCACCACTCCTGACCTGACTTACATTCATGTTTTCATAATTCTAATGAATAATTACAATTTACACGCAGCTCTCGTTTGTACAGTAAAGGAAAGCAGAAGCTAACAAAGACTAGCACACTGCTGCTACGTCCGTGAGAGACTGCAGGTGAGCGTGAGCTCGTGAAAATAGCAGAGTAAGCCTTTGAAGGTGGGATAACCGCTGAGCTAGCTGAGCAAAGGCGTAGGCGGACAAGTGACAACTTCAATGGAGCGCCTTATTACGGGGAAGGTGCAGTGAGTTGTGGAGTGTGCCGTGTGGGAGGTACGGCAGGCAGCTCCAGTGAGTCGACCTGAGCTGACTCTCCAGACTTCATTTAGGATTATGGGGGTTATTTATATGGGTAACATCATGTGCACATATACGGCCTCCACTGCAAGTATATACTGTATATATATATACATATACATATATATATATCCCCTTGGAACCACTGAATAATAAAGCGGCTGGAATCATTATCTCCATGAATGAGTTCAGAAAAAAATGACAATCTCATGCAATTTTCGATATCAGTAATGGCTCTGCATATTTCATAGAAGACACATGGCTACATTAGAGTAAAGCTGATCCAGGCTACATGTATTAAAAAAACACACTTTCAGGTAATGGAATTTGTTCAAACAGCAGTCCACATACATTACTCGGACTTCCTATCATACCTGAGGAAATATTCTGCTACTGTGACATTGAGGCTAACTCCCCCCCACCCCTGCTCCTGAGTAATAGCTTTGAGGAAAACTACAGAGATTTGTGTGTGATAATGAGAAACAGAGGAGCAGGCTCACTATATTCACCCTCCTCACCACTGGGTGTTAGCTGTAATTACTCCTGTGGAGCTACGGAGCCGACAGATTAAAAAAGTGTCGCCCTGAGGCCTGTTGGCCAGCAGGGGACACAGTTAGAAAAAAAAACAAATCTCTTTGAAAATGACATCCGTTGACTATGGGACATGTGGAAATCTCAGTGCAGCTCCCAAGGTGACACCCGGCTGAACAAATCATCGATGCAAGGATTTTTGCATTGATTGATATGCAGGGCAGTAAAAAAATACTCTGAAAATACTGAAAAAATAAATCTTGTGAAATAACTTTTTGAAACTGAATGTCCGTTACAGAGTCCATGGACTGTAGGTCAGTTGATGTACTGCAGGTTGTAAATTGTGTAAATTATTTTAAATATTGTCCCTGTTTCTTTCAAACTGAACGTCTTAATACAAATGAACAAGAATAAATGTTTACTTCGACTTAATTTTTTATGTTTACGTCAGTACTTCCTGTTACATTGTTGACAATAATGGCTGTCATTTGCCTGTAGGCTTGTAGCTTGTTAGCTTAGCTGCATGCTGGTGCTTGTCCCACTGAACTTGGGGTCTCTGCCAGAACATTCACTGTCCCAATTACTGATATTGAACAGTGTTCATTCAGCCCTTAACTCATGCCTTCAACTGCCGATCAATGTTTACATTACAACAAAATTACAGCCTAATAACCAGCTCCGCTAATCAATACACCACTAAGCAGTAAAGCTGAGGGTGTTGGTCTTTGTTTTCTGCTCTGGTACAAGAGCACCCCCTGGCGGCATCGAAAAATCTGCTGGAGTCAGACAGTTGCTTCCAGATACAGGATCCTAATCTTACAAATAAAGGATGTTCAGGTTTAGAGACATACATAGAAGCTGCATGTGAGGAAGAAAAAAAGGAGCCGAGGAGACGACTGTTGGCTGAGAAAGGGAGAAGGAAGCTGAAAGATGAGGTGGGTTTTTAGGAGCAAGATATAATTCACAGGAGTTGGCAGGGTGAGTAATGGTAGCAGAGTTCTACACAGAAGCTTTTATGAGGTACTCGCTCCCCTCCTCTGCAGCTCTAAATGCTATAGATCATGTATATCAGCACTGTCACACGACCACGGCTCTGCTCCATTTGTCCACGCTATTAAATAAAACTTAGAGTAACAGAGGTGGCAGAGAGGGAAGAAATGTACTGTAGATAAGTGTTTCACAACCTTTTCTGAGCCATGACACATATTTTAGATATAAAAAAATCCTAGGGCACACTATCAAAAGATGTCTCAAAATGTATCATGAATTTTATGAAAACAAATGATTGGCTACTCAAGTAAAAATCCAATCAGTTCAATTATTTATCAAAATCTTAAAAATCACACCAGTAAATGGTTCTTATTATTATAATAATGTATTTTAGAAAGCATGTTTAATCCTCTGTGATTTCTGGATGGTTTTGGTCATAACTGTGGCCAGAAAAAAAAATACATGTATAAAAATCAAGTATTTTAGAATGTTTTGGAGACAACATTGTCTTGTTTTCCGTTTTTTCTTATGAAAGCATTTGTATTGGATGTCAACCCATAAAATGAAAATAAAAAAAGCTACTTAAAATGATTTATGATTGGATACTGCATAAAAGAGCTATCCTAGAAGGAACCACATTTTGCTCATGGCAGTCATTTTGTTAAGAAACAGTAAAAGGAGGATTAACTCTGTCTCTGTGATAATAGCATTTATCATTTACCTGCTGCACAGACTGCATGCAGAATGTTTGAATTATTTTTTTTCCATATAATAAAGATGATATATTACAATAAAAGAAGTAGTGTCTCTAAATTACACCACATGGGGTCAGTATTTACTTTTACCAGAGAAGACTGAAGGAGAAAAATAGAAAATGAACAGAAAAGTAAAAAAACAAAACAAAAAAACTCCAAATTATATGTGCATCTTTTGCAAAAATGAAGTCAGTAGAGGACAGACACTAGGTAATAATATCAGGAAATGGACTGGTCTTACATAAATGGGTGTAAATATCAAGGTTTAAACTATTTGGACCAACCAATAGCACAGAAGAAAGAAAGAGAAGAAGTGAAGATGGGTTCAGAATCTGGAGCTGAGTGTCAAGAGGGATGGAGATTCTTACAGGAACGGCCAGGACTGACAAGACTGGAAATGAACAGGTAGAACGACCAGTAACAGTTGGGGAATTTGGAGTTTAATTAGGAAACGCTACAAAGCTGGGATGCTGTACACGAGAGACTGTATATCACAGGACAAGGATATTGAAGATCCAGCAGCCAGGCTGACGAGAGACGCTCAAGAAGATCTATGGACACAGTAAAGGAGGACATGATGACGCTGTAGTCGATGGAACAGGACAGAAGCTATGGTGTGGCAGTAAATGGAGGGAGGTGTTCAAGTGGACTCCTCTTTCACGCTGTTTGAATTTGCATCAACACGTGTATATATATATATTAACAAATATATGCATATATATATATATATATACACACATAAACGCATTATCAACCTTTTTTATTAGTTGACCAACATCAACTCATTTTGTTCATATTGTCATTTATTGTTGTTATTATATAAGTTAACCCGACAAGTTCTACATTTACAAAAATGACAGGAATATGATTATTTTGGCACATATATATTTTTTATTAAAACAAAAAACATCCAAAGTGTGAGATAGAGGAATAAAAGCACACGAAAAATGAGGCCACTGTAACACTATTCAGAACTCAACGTTACTTTGCAAGATAAGGTCGTCAGCGTATCATTAACGTCATCAATTATAAAATCCAAAATATAAAAAAGAGTGAAGTTAAATATTTAAAGGTGATTTCTTACCAGTGAGTAAGTCTAAGGTACAGGCAGTGTGAGGCCAGCGCAAAAATAAACCACGACACACCGCTGCTGTTACAGAGGACACTTTGTCCTGTTTCTGTTTATTACACATATCGTGAATATGATTATTATCACACACAAACTCCAATACAAAAAAGCACTAGGAATGGCTGCTAAATGTGTTGAATCCCACTACCACTATGGGACTGAGATAATAGTATTGGATGACTCACATGTTGAGCTTTTTACAATTCGAAAGCTGAAACTTTCCAACATTTTATATACCGTTTCTATATATTTAATATTGTTGTAATGACAAAGGCTCAACCTTAAAAATGAGTTCAAGTACGCTTTGAGAAACAGTGGCAACTGTATTCCATGTTTTGGTTGTTTCATAACAACAGACAAGACGGAGGGTACAGTGAGATGCTTCAATGAGGAACTAAACCAAAAAACTATTCAGACTGGATTTGTGTAGAAGTTAATATTGTCTTAGGTAATACTGGTTTCATATATTTTTCAATTATGGACGTAACTTGAAACTCAAAAAGTTCAAAGTTGGAATGAAGAAAAAAAAATCAGATTAAATAAAAAAACATACTTTGATTTATTTAATAGATGACAAAATATACTGGAATTCTGGGCTACATCTTAGTATTTATACGTACTATCTATCTGAAGCAGTGATACACAATCGTAAATCAGACCCAGGACCCATGTGAGAGGATTTGTCACAGTCACAAACCTGAATGTAGAAACATTACATGGCTCATAATAAAATCCTCACCCCTAACTGGAGTATCTGTTCTTTATTAGAATAAACTATTCCAATAGAATGATGAGAACAAGTGTTTGACTGCCAGAAGTAGTTACCCCATGCATCCAGCAGAGGCCACAGTATTGTGTTTTGCTGTTGGCAAGAAAGTTAAAACGTTTTCTTTGGTGAATAAAAATGACACAGTCTAAAATGTAGAGTACTTTGAGTTCTACAGTTGTACAGGTTTCAGATCAAGTTGTTGTTCTACAGTTGTACAGGTTTCAGATCATCAGTTCTATAATTCTAGAGAACCAAAAACAATTCCAGCTAACCACTGTTGTAAGATTTACGATTTCTTTAAGGCTTAGCCCCCAGTTGGATAAGGACCTCAACCAGAAGCAGATATTTTGAACTGAAGAGATGATCCCTAGAATGTTTAAATAAAATAATCATGTTTAAAGAAAATGTAAACATGATTTGTAGGAAGGTGTATTTTGTCTACTGTGTTGTTGAACAAGGACTTGACCGTATGTGGGACACGTGTGTGAGTGTCTGTCGTACACAGCCATGGCTTTCAGAAAACCAGACACCTCAGTTTGACGCATCACCCTCAGAAAATCCAAATACTATGATCCCAAAACATTAAAATGTTAACACTGTTAAAAAAACAGAAATATTTTTTAAAAAAAAAACAAGAATAAAATCTGGCATCCTCCTGTACAGCAACTGGCGACTGATGGCACCCCCCAGCCTAGTTGGGATTGGCAGTGGTCTAACACTTGTGCTTCATGGCAAGCTGTAGAAAAACAAGGTTGGGGCGGGGGGTTGCAAGATAAAATGCTTGGGTCATTGACAAAGTGTGTAACAATAAATTAAAATCATCAGCATCAAGACGGAGACCGTCCAAAGTCCAGTGTGTGGAATGAAAAGGAAAGGACAAACTTCAACTGTTTATCCACAATGGATTAGAAACTGTTAGGAAAGACCATTAACTACTTTGGTGAGCAAAAAACAAAGGGTTCAGCGTGGTACAGACAACGACAGGTCCACTCATCTCATTGACAAGAGTTTTAATGGACACAGCTGTTCATTAGAGAAATGACCAGGTCCACCAGTACGACAGACAGCTCTAGGGTTTAAAGACAGTAAGATGGCACAGACACCAGAGACAGAACAGGGGGCGCTGCTGGAAGAGATGAGGAAAAAACAAGTGCAGAGATTGATCGAATGGGGGCAGCAGAGCAGCATGCAGGCATGAGTGGCTCTGATCAAAGGGGACTTGAACTAAATCACTTGCTGACATGCAGTAAGACACTGATACTGACTTGCAGGAGCAAAAAAAAACTGCCAAGGTGACCTTGTCAAGATGCTGCAGACAACTGCTTATCATTTTTTATCAGTGCACGCAGAAGGCCATGTGAAGAACAGACACATCACTGGAACAGTTAGGAGACTAACTTATCCTAACAGTCATGCAGCACAACCAGTGAAACCAAGCAGCACTAGATCGTCCTGTTTATATCATGCAGCATAAATAATGAGTTGCACTAAAGAAATAAAAAAATATATATATAATGAAAGTAAATGGCAGCCAAACAGAATGAGAAATAGATTAAATGACTAATTCTTTGCAGGGGGCTTTGCAGTCATTTTCTCATGCAAACAGCACAGCTAAGCCATACTTCTCTGCCTTTCAGAGTTTCTGTGATTCATCACAGTGGGGAAGCTCATATGTGAGCAGCGTAAGAGGAGCATGCAGAGCTTTTCAAATGTCTTTCAATTATCCCACCATCACTGCTGAGGCACCATAGATCATTCAGAGCAGTCATTTCAGCGGGGATTGAATGGCTTCACTACTGTGCATCAGTAACACCCTGGTTTTATGAGCATGTGTCTGACAGTGAGGGATGTGTCTCAGCTGGAAAACAATAGGTAGATGGAACTATAAAGGTACACTTTATAGCCATATTTACTGCAGGCTTAGTTAATAAATTAAAAAGTAGTTTTATGGTAAATAAACCTGATTATGCATTATGTTGTTTTTTATACTGAAATACAATATGTATTTATTGGACAGAAGGTAGATTTAACACCAAAGCACTACAAAGAAGTCACTGGTGAAAGAATTAACATACACTAATTAAGAAGAGTTATCTTCCCAGAGCACAGAGGACGGCTGCTGAGAGGTTGGAGTTGCTGAGGAAACTAGTACTTAAAGAAAACTTTGATCTGCTGGGGTTTAAAATTTGAGGAAATGTTTGCACAGGATGGGGTTCTGAACATTAAAAAACACTACAAATATCACTTTTTCTCTTAGACGAACTATTTTAAAAAGTATTTCTGCAGCACACTCCAAATAAGTAACTGTTCACAGAGCACTCACTGGGTACACATGGGGTTAGTCCACCAAGTTGTCAGTCTTGGCATTTAGTCGGAATTTACTGTATGTCGACAAGCAGTGTTTATAACTGAGGGTCCCAAAGACTGCTGATATGATATGTTAACAAGGTCCAGAAACAACAGACTCAATGTGACTGACCTTTCGACTCTCTGCTTGCTTTGCACAATGAACCACAATGTAATCAGATAGGAGCATTTACTAGCACTTTGGATAATTTATTGTCACGTAACATAGAAATGTGACTTATCAGTTATTGGTTGTTTGACTGGATGACAAAAAAAAAAAAAAACTGAGGGAGTCAGGGATTCAGACATCTACAGGATGACCTGAGAGTGTGGTTAGAAAATACAGAAGTACTTTTTTAAATGCAATTCAAAAGGTTTTTGTTGTGTTGGGTTTTTTGGGGGGGTAAGAATAGTAAAAGTTTTTATTTATCTTTCCTTTGCTTAAAGAATCCCCAAGTATATGTTACAAATGGAAGTTTTTAATGTCATTTTTAAAAAGTCTAACAACTAAGAGACACAAAGTTAAAATGATTAAACAGGGTGTGTTAAACCTGGTAGCTCAGCTCTGCCTGTACGTATCGTCTCACCTTGTGTGCGGTGACGGCAAACTGCTCTGCGCTGTTCATCATGTCGGCGGTCCTCTCCTCGGTCCGGCCTAACCGCTCGCCACGTTCATTCAGAGCCTGACTGGCCTTCTGTACAGCACTGGTCACACTGTCAGCAGCTGAGTGAAGTATACTGTTACCTTCAGAAGACGTTAAAGAGTGAAGGAGGCAGGGTGGAGGGGTAGAGGAGAAAAGTGAGGTGAGGAGCATAAAAGAGAAAAGAAAAAAAAGGGGGAGAGAAGACTGTCATTCATTTGGTAATAAATTAGCCTCTGACCGTAGTTGTGAAGTCCAATCAGTGACCTTGAGAGCCTGTGTTAACAGTTAGATGACTGAAACAAGAAAAAGAAAATGTCTTCCCATCCACCGCAGCCAGGGAAGGTTGATAATGACTTTTCTTCAAAGCTGATTTACCTCAAGAGAGAAGAGCAAGTGAAATTAACCTTTTAAAAGGCAAAAGGACACAACGGGACAAACAGGGGACAACAAATTGATGTCTCTTTGTAGGAAGGATATACTTTCTGTTGACATCCTGTGGCAATAGTCTCCTTTACTAACTAAAGTGTTACAGAGAGAATGTGTGCTTGGCTTTACAGGCAGCCATAGCAAAGAAAAAAACCTAGCAGTGACTAGAAGACAGAGAGCACATCTTTAGATAGCAGTGGCAGCCCTGCGGATGTTTGTTCTGACAAGCCATTAATCTACTGCGTGTTGGGAGGGCTGCCGATGTGAACTATGCTAACAGCTAGACTAGGAAGAGCAATTCTTCTGGTCCATTTAGTTTGCTTGGCAATACAGTAGAATTGTTTTAAAGAAGGTACAATCTGTCATTTATGTAAATTTTCTCCATCTGAGAATCTTGAGAACATTTTCTTATTGTTTTTAAAGAAAGTATGGAAAAATCATTTGGAACTACAGAGTAGTTGTTGCGGTTCCTGCCATGCTTAATTTATCCAGTGCAGAGTAGTTGTTGCAGTTCCTGCCATGCTTAATTTATCCAGTGGATAGAATTCTTCCCTACCTATGTTCTTTAAGTGAAAGGCTGGCATTTCACAGAGGTGCTGATATCTCCTTACATTCCATCTTAATGAAAAGTTGACTAAGTGGCATCCTAAGAAATACCTGCTTCTGATAAAAACCCAAAAAAGTAGTACTAAGTGCTGAGGGAGGGTCAGGATCAGCCCACACAATAGGAACAGTCATTTAGATGATTGATCTCAAATGAAAAGGCTCTGGGGATCAAAGTGATCTTTTTCAAGTGATAAAATAAAATAAGAACAATTACTGCAAAGCTGATCTTCAACATTCTGGTCTTTTAGGGTCTGCTTTGTTCATGCACCATTTGCAAAAACTGATTGTTCATAATAACACAGTCTCACTAAGCTAAAGTAAAAAAATATCAAAAAAAGCACGTGGCAGTGAAGCCAATTTCATTAAACATACAGTAACTGGTTTAGAAAAGAAGGAAGAGGCAGAGCCAGGATCGACCTGTTTTAAGACCTGACAAATCTAGACTAGAGTTCAGTCAGAGAATGTCCCATAGCAATAAGCCAAGCAATGTATGTTGTGAGCACTGTGCAATATATTAACAGATGGATGGATAGATTTTCATACCAATGCACACACGGGAAAATGGAAACACGTGTATACAGGATCTCGCAGCAGCCAATTTTCCAGATTACAGTGAATGGCCCACAGGTGTGGGAGCGTATCACACATTACAAACACATCTGGGCCAGCGGTGAAGTAAGTCTAACCTGTTGGGACTTCTTTTTCATTTGCGCAGAACTGAAATCAGACACTGTGTAATATTGTGCTAGTACTACATGGGTACTTAAATGTAGTATTAATTTCCTGGTCTCTGAACTGTAGCACCTGATACTGCTCCACTGACGGTAAAGGACAAGAATAAAAGACTCCTGGACTCTGCTTCTGTCTGGAAGAATAAACAATTTCTCATCCTGGCTTTATGACTTCACTGGAAAGTGTAAGACCTCTTCGCCTTCAGACAGATTCCTCTTAATCCTGTCTTCCTGCCGGGTAACTCTGGGAGTAATACTCCCATCATCCTCAAAATAACCCCAACCCTCTCAGCCTCTCCACACCATTCAATCAGAGCAGAGTTCTCCTTTTCTCTGGCGCAGTTCTTCACTGTCAGAGCAGCAAAAGGCCGCCGCGTGGGCTCCCCCAGTGGAGACTGTATTTTAAGAAAAGGCAAGGTGGAGACATTGTGGAGAAAAGCTCATAATGTTCCTCTGTGAGAGCTGAATGAAGTGTGTAGGTGTACTTCATGTTGCTATTACTGTGTTTTCAACTCTAGGCTCTAGTGACTCCGACCTTAAACTCGGAGTCTATCAGCCACTTCCTGTCGTTAGTGGGAACAACAATTTTTATTGTGCCACATTAGGTGGCTAGTCACCAGTGCCAATACAGTCTGCATTATAATGAAGTTGACGTTTGGAGCTATTTTCCCCATCCTACCACCTCTCTTGCTCTCTCTCTCTCTCTCCCCCCTTTTGTTTACCTCTATCATTGTTTGTACGTTTTCAATGCCATTAGAATTAAAAATGCATGAAAACTCATGAATCAAGTTGGGGAAAACTAACTGTGTGGTGACCTTTAACAATATCCTCAAAATACTGAACCAAATTCCTTGTTAAGGGGTGTGACATTTCTTCTGAACCCAACAGGAGGCCAAAAGCGTTCATCCATTTATTTATCTTTCATGACTTTATGGTGTTCAGGGTGTGTGCTGTCTGTTATGGGAGCATCACAGATACCAAACACCCAGCTGACACCCAACAGAACCTGGGTATATTTAATTGATCACACCCTTAAAAAATGAAAATGTTTTTCCAAAACTATTTTATCAAATTGCATTGCTGATTGAGAACAGCCGATAATAACAGTGCAAAGATGAGCCTTGTATGTTCCCGACACACCTCTTTGGAAAATGCAGAAGGAATTTTGTTGCCGTAGACGTAAGCCAGGGTTGAGTTAACAATTGAGAATGAACAGAAATGTGAAGTTGTTTTTGAGGAACCAAAATCAGAAACTGTAGACAAAACACAAAAAGGAAGGGAAAGGATCAAAGACAAGACTTCCTCTTCCAAGAATTGCTCCAGTTCTTCAGGACTGTACAACACAGAGTTGAATATTGAAGCCTCTCTTACAGCTTCCCCCTAAGATTCTACACTGTTGTATCTTCTCTGTGGAAGAGTGATTCTGTGCAGAGTTATGTGCGTGTGGGTGTTTTAAGGGAGTGAAGGGCTTACAGTTTTTTTTCACATACTTATCTGTTCTTCAACCACTTCTATCAAAGGTTCTCCTTATTATCCAGAGATTGCCCGAGGGCTTTAGGGGCCCTGGTGCTCAGTCAAAGAAACATGCATTGCTGTTTCTTTTGACCAGAACATTCTTTTCTCAGTCTATGTTCTTGTTCTACTGAAATCACTTGATTGTAGATATGTGCACGTCCAACTCAAAGAGTGAAGAAGCAGGTTGTTTTAAAATCCCTGTGCTACTACTGTTACTCACATCCAGATGGATTACATACAGTATAACTAACAGGTTGGTGTTGCCATAATGGCCTCCAGGTACAGCTGTGTCTCTTCTGCCCCAGCTAGACCCACTGCACTTTAATTAATGCAAATCTTGACATTATCCAGTGAAGCATAGTACAGATACAGTAAAGGTTCAAGCAGGAAGGTCATTTACCCCACGGCAGGGCTGAACACTATCTATTATTACTCCTCGGTCTTCCATCCAAATACATTTCTTTCCATCTATGTAGTGTTGCTACTCAAACACTCACTTTTCCACTATTCTTATACAGTACAATAAAGAATAGTATGGCATTAACAGTTAATAACATAACTAGTGTGACATGTCAAAAACTATTTCTTACATATGTGTCCAAAATAATATTACAGATGCCATGCAACATGAAACAATTAAGTAGACACTGTCCACAGGAGTCAAATTCTGAGTTTAGGCCTTGCCATGTTGATGACATCATACAGATTGTTTTCTCCAAGAGTATGTAGTAATGTCAAAATAAATTAAACTAGGTTTATCGTATTTCAATATTTTACACATAAGTACAACATTAATACACATTAGTCATGGACTTCAGAAACATAATAAATGCATAATAATGTTTTGTTAACAAACAAAACATTTCTAGGAATTGGCAGAGGAAGAATCCGCCCGAATGCAAAATGTGGACAAGGAGCACCTGAGTGACACCACCACCCTCTTGATAAACACCATAGGTACAAACAAGGAACATTTAGTCCTAATGTTTTGAACTGATGACATAGATAAGCTATTCAGTTTTTATGACTGGCCTCCACTTGGTAAAATTAAACAGCTGATTACATTAGGGTCATGCACTGCACTGCATGCACTGTCATCATTAGATGATGACTAACTCTTGAGTGCTCTTTGCTTTTTTAGTACTTTTTACTCTATTTATTGTGTTAACTCCTCTTCTCTCTTTTTCTGCACTGCCTACTGTACTAGTATGTTTCCCCCAAGGGGGATGAATAAAGCCCTACTCTACTCTCTACTCTAACGTTTAGTAGGACTTTTTTTTTTCTGTCAGAGAGCCGTAGAGCAGTTAGGGAGTTGATGAATCACTGCAATGTCCTTGTCCATAAAAATGCAGTAAATGTCCACAAAACATTTCTCACTCTGCTCCAACAGTGAGGAACGCGGAGAGGGAACTTATTGCACCGAACCACCACAGCGATAACTCAGATAAGTAAAACTGTGACCTGTGTTTGCTAAACCTGTTTAAATGTTGAACTAGAGGAAAGAAACGACAGGGTTTCCCACATCACCTGGGAGCTGGAAATTTATAAACGCAGTCTTAAGTCAGCAGTTTAGAGATTTTTTTTAAATTATTTTGCAGGAAACACGTAGGGGTGTGTATTGGCAGGAGTATATTGCCATAACATATTGCGATACACTGAAATACTATAGGCATGATAATATATTGTCTTGTTTTTAAAGAATTCAATTTTAGGAAAACTGTCAGTATAATAAACAAACTACGATGGATGACTGAAAGTGTCAACATTAAATAAATACATCATCGGTCGCCCACTGACTTTGATGGGTGAGTTTGACAATGAAATTAATTCATGATGGCACCGCAACACACCGACCATGACATGTAAGTGTAAAATTGGTATTTTTATTATTTAATGACACATTTAATTGGCTAAGACAAATGGATTTCTTTGTTCATATGGGATGTCTATACCTAAAACAACACGTTAAATTAACAAAACTTTTGTTTTTGACTCCACTGGCTTACCTTGTCTCAGGAGACGACCGTGGTGTGAGACAAATTCTTTCCGCATTCTGTTCATAACGACCTTGCAACGGAAAATGACTGAATCTAGAGCTTGGTCTTCTGTGACGAGAACATTTTCAAAGTTATGGTCAAGTTTAACTATTGTCAAATATTTCTATTATTCATTGTTTTGTATTTGTTAATAAAATAAATCAGTTATTCATTTTATAATTCATTAATAATCACAAGGGTTGAGTTAAGTCCATTTACAAAGTTTTTTTTTCAAATAGGATGGTGATTGACTTTTGAGTAAAATTGTTGTTTTCATAAATGCGTAAGTAAAAAAACAGAGTCTCCATTAAACTTTCTATATGAAATTTTTTTTCAAAAACAGATTGTGATTTGGATTTGGTTACATGTACAGATGTATTTTGCAACCATAATGTGCAACATTTATTTCTTATAAAGTGTCTGCATTAAACAAAAGAGGACTCATAAAAACAGATGTCAATAAGCCATCTTGTGTATTTGCTGCACAGCCTCATATGTTCCCTCTGTGTGCAGACTATCAGCCAGGCCAATGTTGCAGATAAGTGTTGAGTCTCCCACAGTTATGGTCCCACACCTGAGCAGCGTCATAAGTTTTGTTTTGCACTGGTGTGAGACTTAAACTGGAGAAGACAGAGTCCGCAGCAGCCTGACATACTCTCCGTACATCCTGTGACAAAATGTCGCCAACAACGAAGAGACTAATTTTAGAAACAAGTCAACAACCGGATCGATAACTAAACAGGATTAGCCAGGATTGGCCAGGATTTAGTGAATTTAATCTAAGTAAAAACAACTCTGGGAAAGGCGTAGAGTTGCATTAATCAAATAATGCCAAATAAAATATTTGCCAAATAATAATAGTTTCTCACAATACTTCTTAGATTCTGTGCAGGTGAAAATATGATCATAATATCATCTGTAATTTTGAGATCTTAAAGAACAGTGGGGTGGATATGCACATGATTCTCCATAGATCATCCCACTCTAATAACCACAAGTTCAATGCCTTCTGGGACACCACTGCCTTCCCACCCACACTTCCCGAAAGTGTGGGACACATGTAAATGAGATTAACGTGAACAATCTGTTAGAGTGGGAGTGAGGTCAAGACAACGAGGGGCTTCATTACCAGGACATATAAGGAAAATTGGAGAATAAACAGTGTGTTATTCAAATACATTAAGTTTAGTTGTTTTTTTTACATTTGCTAAAATATTTCAAATGTTAGGCCTTATCCAAGAAACACAACAGAACATTTTATATGGTTACTTCTGGTATTTCTGACTAATGCCGTAAAAACCTTTCTACTTCTGGTGAAGATGTGGTGGTGCAGATGGAAAAGCTGCAGGTGGTTGTGATGTTTCCATTAACAGTTCCATGAATAATGAAGGAGGTTAAATGTGCTAAAGGTGCTCAAACTCAAGGCTTCGGGGGACACAGATCAATATGTGATCAAGAACAGTTTCAATGCTGCAAACACTGCCAGGTTGCACTGTAGAAAAAAAGGACATTTTATTACCTAAATGTCTGGGAGCTGATTTGCCTTCAGCCTGTTTGAGCACGTCCCTGTTTACTGGTTGGGCATTGAAATAAATGCTGTTCTCAGAGGAAGACGTTAGTGTGTAATTGAGCATCCAGAGTCTCAGTGTTTATATCAATGCCAGACAAACATCAGGGGACTGTTAAGGATCTTTAATATTGTTCTGAGGGATGGAAGTGAGCCTCACACTGGCATGCATTAAGTCTAATGAATTAGCATCACATCACTTAGGGAACAGTGTTAGCCAGTGCTCTGTTTACATGTGCTGTAAAAGCAGTCGATCTGTGTCTGACGTTTGGAGTCAAATTTTGTTCGACATCCTCTTTGACCTCAGATGCTGCAGACAGCTTAACAGCTGCTGCGATTTCGAGGGATAACCATGCATTTAAATGCTCGACAGGTGCTGGTTGGCCTCGTACATAATCAGATTCAGACGGAGTTACAGCACAGGGCGACAGCAGTGACTCTACCGTCACAGAGACACCGTGTTCTGACACAAAACTATTAAACAAGGTGGGCTGGGAGAGCTTTGATGAACTGTCTTACCCCCCAGCAGTTTAGACTGACAGTTGATGAACTCGGGTTTTCGTGCTGAGCAGTAGCGCTGGCAGGTGTGGTGAAGGATCTGTATGAAGGTGCACTTCTCTCCAGCCGAGCTTGCAACCCACTGGTCAAAGGCGTTATCGAACAATAGGTCGAACTCTGGGCAGTCCTTGGAACAACAGTTGATAAAATTGTGTTTAATTTTAAGTACATTTAGTAAATGATAGTAAGTGTCTAGTTCTTACATCAGTAGTCAGTTTGGTCTTACAATAATATTGACAATATTCTAGTTTATTGGCAATAATTTGTGAGTCAATAAAATGTCCAGCAAAATGTGTTATTATCACGAGCCTTTAAGTCTTTACACTTCACACACACTCACAACCCCTCGGGCCTCAAATATGCAACATTATATTTCTTCATATTGCGACATAACATTTGTGATGTTCAGGCTACGTACCTTGATGGAGTCAATGCCGTTGATCTGTCGTAGCTGGTCAATAGTCCACTGTGATCGTTTAACAAAGGAGGACAACCCTTGAAATTGCTTCACCTTAGTGATGGACAAGTGGAAAGGTTTCTTATTTGTCACTGTGGAAATAAAAAAAAAAGATGATAAATAATCATATCATATGACCGCTAAACTAATAATCAAGATTACATTTCTTAAGGGTAGGACTCGTGAGCATATTTCACAACGTTTTTAGACAATTGTGCTCACAAGAAGAGTGAAGAGTTCAGGTTACAAGACAGACAAGAGTGGAATCACAAACACAAAAAATATCCATGCAGGAGGACAAAACAACAAGAACTGTAAACTGACAATTCAATGTTGGAGCCAACAGCAATGTTGAGCATGATAGAATTTTCTCAAGAGGAGACACAGCCTCAGCCAGCGCTTTAAAAAATGACGAGCCCTTTACCAAATGTTTTGACATCATTAACATTCTAACCAAAACGTACTTCATTTACTCAATACATACATCAAAACAAACAACACAGTTCTCTTTTTGTTTAGACCATTTTCCTACAGATAAGTTGTGAAAGACTGCACATGTTCATGTTTCACGGTCAAGTCCGTCTCCTTGAGTTCATTGAAACAGCCCTGGACTGAGCTTGTGAGGATGATGTATTCCACTGCACAGATGGGTAAAACTAAGTAATCTTCATGAGGATGATGCATTTCTTCCACTGCACAGATGGGTAAAACTAAGTGAGTGAGTGAGAAATTACAGAATCAAGGATGGAGGTATTGGCTTGAAGCAAATGGAAGAAAAGAAAAGTGAACACAGCGTCAAGCTGTGGAAATGCACCGTGCATTTGTTTTGCGTGCACCTGATTTTCCATTACATTTATTGGCCAATGTCAGGTTGATGAGCTTTGAGAGAGTTTGTCCATATCACCCGGCCGCGGTTAAACTCTGACCACCTCGTTATTTTTGTCCTCGTCTTGACCACACAGGGATATTCATGCTCCGCTACGTTTGAAGATCGACACAGCTCACAGCTGCTGGTGTGCAGCTGAATACAGAAACTCTTGTCCATCTGGAGGGGTAACTAGCTCCCTTGTTGCTTTTTTAACCTCAGTGGAGGACCTCAACTTTGCTGAGCTGCTACTGTGTCATCATTAGAGAAGAAAGGAAGTGATCAGGTCACTTTCACTGCTGCTTCTCTTGGCTCTACAAAAACACATCGATGTCTTGTTGGCGGCCACCCTTCCTGTCTATGGGTTTGATACGATTAAAAAAAAAAAAAAAGTTTCCTGTCTATGGGTTTGATACGATTTTTTAAAAAAAAAGGTATGGCCAATGTTACCTAATGTTTAAACTAAACAAAAAACACCTTATACAGATTGATATTTTTACATAATCAGTATTCATGTTCAAGAATATCTGCTTATATAGTTCTTCATTGCTCATTTCAGATAAGTGATGGTTTGAAGCCTACAGATAAAAGAACAACGCTCGAACAGTGAGAATTGAAAAAAGAACATTATGCAGACTATTGGGCTGCATTGCCTAAGAATAAGAATTTGAGGTGTTTTTATAATCCTCCTATTCTGCCAATAATAATTAATGTACTGTACTATAATGTCGAAAAATTAAGGAAGTATTCAACACATCTCATGTACAGTACCGTACACAGTCCTACCATTCTACAGTACCATGGTTTGGTACTATATATACATATACAAGCATCAATAAAGTCTTAGATCGTACTAATGATTCATCTTCTCCATTGAACCGTAGTCATTTACAGGCAGTATAATTTACCTACAACTGAGAATTTTGAACATGGCACACAATGTTCAACACCACAGATGAAACACATGAATAATAAGCATTGACACTGTGTTCGTTTGAACACAAAGCCTTGTTTGAATATTAATTATCAAAACACATGATTCTCCGGTGAGCCTCATCTTAATAACGCAAAAGCTATACCTTTTACTGTGTTATTAGTTTAATTAAACAACAACAGTAAGAGGGGAGCAAACTGTGGCCCATTAAAATGAATCTACTTCTGGGCTCACATACATACTTTGAGAAAAAAGGTCATATAAGCAGAGCTAAAGTGTGTGCTTCAAAGTGTGTGACACCTTTGTGCCAAAATCAACTTCACATTCAACTGTTTTAAACTCTAACCTTGTCTGAGAAGATTAAATAGAATGAAAGTGTGTGTTGGGGGGGAGGCTTTGTAGACACAGCATTCAAGGATGGCCCTGTAAAAATGTTAAATATGTGGAAACAAACCTTGAGTTGATTTACCACACAAAAAAACCTTATTCATGAGAGAACCAACCTGTAAAAAGTAATAGTGACAAAAAAGAAGTTGTTGTTCTTCTACTGCTGCTGCATATTGACATTCTGCTGATATCACGAGTAAAGGTAAACTCAGCTTTTTGTTTGAGCTGGTGAAATCCTGAGAGATCCTCATTCACAGTCAGAGTTCACAGTGCTTCCATTGTTAAAGATGAATAGATGGATAACTGAAAACATACTGTAATAATGACCAGTGACAGACTAAATTGATAAGTCCAATGAAGATGAACCAAAATAACCACTAAACATGAATATACTGCAGTAAAGCCCAAGAAATCTCCCGTGTCAGTGAGCTGGAGCTGCCAAGGCCATTGTTCTAAGAGAACCTTCGGTCAGAAGAAGGTCATGCTGAGATTCCTGTCCTCCTCCTTTCTCATGATCTATCACAGTGTCATCCTGTCATTTCATCCAATGATTCAGTCACATGTTTTGCTTGGCTAAGATCAAATCTGGCCCCAGCATATTGCTGACAGCACTAATTGAATATTCTCAAGTCAAAGTTCTATAATATAATTATACCATTTAAATACAGAAGACCTAGAAGAATACATTTGTGATTTAGTTTTTTCACTAAAGTAATCCTTTCAGTTTTGGTTTGGTTTTCAAATGCCACTAGAAGTGTACAGTGTTTTCTTCCTTCTTTTGGAAGTGCTTAGGATTTTGTCTGTATGGAGATCTGCCACACATAGGTGGCAGAATGGCAGCTCAAAGAATACCAAGCAGGTGTTTACAAAAAAAGTCAACCGTGGGTGAATTAACAACATTTGCAACAAAACTATGCGATGTATCAGAAACTTGAGATCACCATTAAAAGAGATGAAAAATATGAAAATGTAAAGGACTCCTCTCCTTTGTTACACAAAAACAATCCTGAAGAGAATACGGTGAATATCAACATACCAGATTAAAATATGAAATTCTAGAGTAGCATAACAAATGATCACACCAGATAATGAGCAACTGTTTGCAGGGAAGTAGGGTGTTTCCTTTGGACATTTACTGACCAACCAAAATATGAAGTTCTGCTGGTGAAAAGGAAAAATAT